GTCAATGAATTGTCATCCGTATTTATCTTTTGCAATTAATTATTATTTTTTTTATTGATATTTGTTGAAATTATCATTTGGATCCGATCCGGTTGTCAGTTGGTAGAATGCCAGCGCTCGGCTGGCTATTAAATGAAAAATCCACGGTCGGTACAGTGCCGGGTCCCAGCCGGTTGAATTATACACGGAACGGCTCTTCGCGGCCGGTTACCGGGCGGTAGAATGCCAGTTCCGAGACGGATGGCCAGCCAGCTCCTGGCCAAGTCATCTTTTGGTAGAATACCAGTTCTCGCGCGGTAGGCAGGCGGTTCCCAGCCAGTACCACTACTCCGGCGTCGGTACAGGCGAGGATCCGCGCCGGTTGGAAATTTCCCACTGGGATATGGAGTGTATAACTCCTTTTTCATTTTAAGCCAAGTATAATAAAGTAAAGAAAAGTAAAGATTTCCTTCTTCTTTACTTTATATTTTATTTATTCCTTTTAGAAAAAAGGTATACGTATCCTTTATTTTTCTATTCTATAGGGGGACCAAAATATTTTTTGCAAACTATCCTTATTATTTGTAAGTATGTATTAGATAAGTTTTCTAAATTCAATAGTTTTAGAGTTATAGATTTTAGAGTCTACTTTTAAAAATCCAATAATTTGGTTACCTATAAAAAATGAAAAAATAGATTTACAATAATATATTTTCATCCTAATTGAAAATGTGGACTGAAATTTAACGTGAAATTGCCTATACATATACTTATAATATATGTTTTTTTCATTTTTGAAAAATATATGACTGAAGGTAGTTCTCTGGCTTCTACTCTTGTAAAAATTTATTTTCTTCAAATTTTGAGGAAATGTTTCTTTTGGTGCCCTTTAAATGTGGTAAAAATTTCAAAACCCTTTGCGATGCTAAATTTTGACTTATTCAAGTTCAAACTTTCACTTTTCCATGCGTTTATGTTAAAAATAAAAAATGTCAACCACAATATCTCGTTTTTTGACATGGCAAAAGGTTTTGAAGTTTCTATCACATTTAAAAGGCATCCGAAGAAATATTTCCTCAAAATTTGAAGAAAATCTATCGAAAATCAATTTTTAAAAGAGTAGCAGCCGGAGAACTACCTTAAATTGAAATTTTTTTTATAGATTTTAATGAATTAGAGAAAATTTCCAAAAATTCCCGGATATTTTTTTCAATTCCCGGCAATTTCCCGGGTTTTTCCCGGTCGAACTAAATTCCCGGCAAATTCCCGGTTTTCCCGTTTTTCCCGGACGCTAGACACCCTGTTTAATTATTTAAAATACAATTTTCATTAAATTTTTTCGAAAAAAATCAATTATTTAAAAGAATTTTAATAAAATTGTTTACGGCAATTCAATTATTAACAAAAATTTTAATACAATTCTTCCCAGAAATTCAATTATTTTCAAACATTTTAACAAAATTCTTTGTATGAATTAAATTATTTTTTATCAATAAACTTCTTCGTAGGAATTCAATTATTGTCATAATCAAATTCGCCCTAGAATTTAATTATTTTTATAAATAAAAAAATTTTCGCGGAAATTCAATGATTCAAAATTCAATTTTTATAAAAATTTTCGAACAAAATCAATTAGTTAAACAAATTTTTATTAAATTCTTTATGGGAATTCAATTATTTATAAAAAAATGTAATGCAATTCTTTGCTAAACTTCAATTATTTTCATAAATTTTAATAAGAATTAAATTGCAATTATTCTTAAAAATTTCATTAAAATTCTTTGAAAGAATTCAAGTTTAAGAAGGGTTTGCGCCCATTCGCCCGAATCCACGCGCCCGAATCAGAAATCCCGAATATAATTTCGCCTGAATGATAATTCACCCGAATCCAATTCCCCGAATGGTTTTTCCCGAAGTCATTCGCCCGAATAATATATTTGCCCGAAAAAAGTAAATATTAATAAATATAAGAATGAAAATAAAGAAATTAAAGAAAATTAAATTTTAAAAATTCAATTGTTCCAATAACTCGAAATGTACTGATTAAACTTCAAAAAGAACAAAGGGAAACCGAAACTTTTCTTGTGGAGCTTGGTCTTGGGCGCTCTGTTAAAGCAGCGCCACGTAGGAAATGGATTGCGATGCAACGCCGGTACACTACAATAGCAGAATCCTATGAGCATTTTAAAGAAGGAGACGAAATCATGAAATATTTAGAAAATTTGACTCATAACATTCAATTATAATAGCACCTGGAAAATTGCAATAAATGTTTTTATTTACATAAATGTACTTATTTTTTTCGACCATAATACTCTTCGGGCTTTTTGTTTTCAGGCACATGTATTCGGGGAATTTTTTTTCGGGCAAACGGTTTTCGGGCGAATATATACTCGGGCGTGTGGATTCGGGTTTTCGTACGGTGTTGATAAAATTTCTATATAAGAAATTAATTTTAAGAAATATTAAATTATTTAATAAATTATTTATATTTATTTTTGTTTCTATTTGAAATTTTAAATAACTGAATTCTCGAAGAACTTTCTAATAAAAGTTGATTTAAAATTGAATTACAGTTAAAATTTTAGATAACAATTGAATATTAGAAGCGTTAAATACTTTTGATTTTTTTCGGTCTTATAGCTAATTTTTGATACATTTTTAAAATTAATTATAGATTGCGAAGCTTGTATGATTCTAATAAAATTTTACGCAGAAATATAATTATTTTCATAAATAATACAATTTTGACGGGTAAGTGAAAATGACACCACCAGGCTTCACAGTGCCCCTAAAAAGTATTTTAGGGGAAATAGGGAACTGAAAATTGAAAAATAGGGGACTTTTAGGGAACTGTAAAAATTGTTTATATAAAGATAAAAATACAATTTATTTACAGGAACACAAACTTCAATACAATTTTTAAATACTGCTCTAAGAAATTTTAGTACAATAAGGAGTACAACAGTAAATATTAATTTACATTTCACAAGTCTTTAAGGTTCAAATATAAATTCAAAATATTCATTTTTACAAAAATTTATTTTCTTATTTTTAATTTTCATAAAAGTTTATTTTTAGTTTAATTATTAAACGAAGATTCTTTTTAAATAAATGAATTAGATAAACAAAAAATATCTCCATTTAGTCTTTTAAAAATAATGTATGTCATAAGAAGTTTGTGCAGATTATAAAAATTTTAAATACAACTAACTTTACGGAGAAAAATGGAGTTTGAAAAACTGGGAGTCAATATTGAAAAAACAGGACTCAGTCCAGTGAAAGTACATTAATTCATTTCCATCAAGCATCTTAGGGTATTGCGTATAGTGTATAGAGGGCCTTAGTTCCAAATGTCACTGTAAAGAGCATTGAAACACAGGCGAAGATTATAAGGCGCGCTGCAGTGTGCATAGTAGAGAAACTGGACTCAGTCCCCTACTTCGAAACTTTCACAATAAAGGAACGCAGGCGCGGAACCTGTCAAAATAAATGGCCGACGCGACGCGAAACGAGTGTTTCCTTTTATTCACTTCGTCAATTTTATATAAAAAAACAATAACCAATCATTAAAAAAAAGAAAAATATGTTAAATGCACTCTTTATATATTCATATTCATAAGTTTTATTCTTCCCACATCTTCATACTTACAATTAACAACTAAATGCATCGGAAAATCTTACAATCATACGGGATTGAACACCTACCTAACCATACAACTAAATATACGCATAATTATAAATCGCACGCTTTTACATTAAGCCTCTCGGCTACGCAATCGATGGGGGAAATTTCCTATTTAAGAAACATCCCTTACCAATGAAATAAATTAGATCATGCGTGGATTTTACTTTGTAATTAATGTAAGTATGGATGTCAACAATATTCATAATATTGAATAAATAATATTGTCAACTAGTTTCAATTTGATACGGTTATTAGAATTTAATAATAAATAAATAAAAAACATTAATTTTTTCTTAACCTTTTTCAAGTTTGACTCTCCTCATGGTAAATTTGAGCATTCTTTTTTTTCCGTGTACAAAATACGAGGGGGTATTTACTGGTTGAAAACGTGTACACTCCAATACACTTATTACGCTAAAATTACACTTATTACCAAGTATTACAGGGTATTACAGGGCAATACAGAGATACGACCATTAGTGTGTGAGAGAGAGAGAGAATAACTTGTGGTTTTCGAGTATAGGTATCTACTTTATGTGCACGGCGTTCATTTTTCGAAAGAACTGGACTGAGTACAAGGCAATTTTCTATCAAAACATCTTTGTCGAACAAAAATTTTTATCGACACAAAATCTCTATGTCTCTAGTCATTTACATCCAATTTGGTTTCAATCCGATACTTAAAAGAAAAGCTGTGAATCTTTTTGACTGTTATAGTTAATCTTCTTATCAGTCTTATCAAGACTGATTTATAATTCTTCCTTTTGTGGTTATAAATTTATACTCTCTAGAAAAAGCAGTAAGTACCCAGTTTTTCCAAGGATATCAAATTGAGACAAAAATGTTGCGTAGCAACGTTTTGATTCGTTTTTTGTCTGAATTTATTGATATTCTTAGAAAAACTGTGTATATATGTTTATACGCTGCGGTATTATCGCTGCTATTCATCAGTGAAATTTCGCTAATACAGATATTTAGAGAGTAGAAATTTTGAATAAATTTGTCTATAGGTACGCATATAAATATTTTGATCTGTCGTTGGTTTGACTTTTTCTGTTGTTGACTGCTCCCTTTTTGCTTTTCGGATACGTACGTTGCGTTGCAGACACACGCATGCGGGAGCTGAGTATATCTCATCTGTTTATCTCTTCTTTTCTAGCGTCAGGAGTACAGTGAGTGAGAGAGAGAGAGAGAGAGTGTTCCCTATGTGACGAAATTAAATCGGCGTATATATACCGGTTTTTCCCAGCTAATCACCTCTGCGAATCGTATGGCATTTAAATCCCGTCAACCGACAATGGGGCCCTGAAAAAGTTAGACAGGGTTGAATGACCCTGCCATGTGCCACTTTTATCGAGGCACCCCCAGCATCGACACACGCGCCCCAGGATCCCGGTGAGATTCGAACAATGCTTGCCTGCGAGATTTGACGATTCTCCTCTCGCTGCCTCTCGCTATAGTCGCTATTCACCCTGTGCCCTCGAATCGAATAGCCCTCATGTCCCACCTTATAGGTTTTCTCCCCCCTCTCCATCACGACCTTCACCATCCGCCCCACATTCCCCAAACTACCCCCGTGCGTCCTTCACCTTCACCCCTTCGCCTCTTTTCCACCCCGTCAACGCAGTGAGCCTTGATGAAAACGACTGATAGAGTTGGATAGAGTGAAGGGTGTCCCGAAAAGAGGCCACTTTTCGACTACAACTCTCCGTGTTTCAAGGTGCCCCTATATACCTTTAATCTTTAATTAGAACTTAACGAATGTTTTATATGTTATGTTATATATGTGGGCTGCTTGTGTCCATCCTGAATTATCTCTATTAAATCTCAATTAGTTCAATTTTACCAATTTCTTCGATAAATGCTCTGTTATGCTCTACTTTAGAATTGTAATTGTTACAAATATGAGATGGACGCGCTATCTATTAAAGCAAATCATTTTGAAGCTTTATGTTGTTTTTACCTTAACTAATTAAAAGCTTCTGCTTGTTGAATTTATAACTAAAATCAGTTTTTATTCATTACTTTTATTCATTACTTTGTAGATGTAGGGTAAACCAGACAGTAGTCGGACACTTAATACACGGAGAGAGAATATATATTAAATTTTGTAAAAATATTTTCAAATTGGGGAAAAAGTGCAACAAAGCGAAATTTTGATATAGAAAATACTAAACTTTAAAAAAACTTATGTGAAATTTACTAAAGTTATATTAGAATTTAATTAATATTCTTGATATTTAATATAATTATACTAAATTTCACATAAGTTTTTTTAAAGTTTAGCATTTTTTATATCAAAATTTCGCTTTGTCGCAATTTTTCCCCAATTTGAAAATATTTTTACAAAATTTAATATATATTCTCTCTCCGTGTAAAATCTTTTTAATGAATACTTTTTAAAAATTGCAATTAAAATTTCTTTAAAATTTCTTCAACGTGTGATTGTTCACACGTTGAAGAAATTAGGATATCCTACGAAACTATTATACCAATCATGTTTACAAAAAAATAATGGCAAATAAATAAGTAAGAATACGACAGTAGTCGGCCACTTAAAGCAATCTTTTTAATTAACACTATTTAAAAGGTGCAATTCATATTTTTTTCGAATTCTCTCATGTAATATTGTTCCTTACGATCACACAAAACTATTAAACCAATCATGTTTAAAAAAAAAATTTTTTATTCGTTAAAAAAATTAGTAAATAAACAAGTAAGAATGTGACAGTAGTCGGATACTATCAAAAACCGTAGAAATTACAGTTGATTCCCTTTGTGGATTTTCGTTTAAAAAATAGTTAACATAACCTTTAAATTTTTTGCTTCTTAGCTACCTTTCTTCAGACCGTGTCTCGTGTGCATATACAAACATACATATAACACATACAAACATTAAAGTCAAATTTATTAATTTATTTACGACTTTTTTTAATTGTTAAATTATTCTAAAACACTAATAACTTCATTTTAAACAAATATTTTAATTTTTAACTAAAATTCTTTTAAATAAATTTTTTGAATAACTATTAAAAAAGGTTCTTTGAGAATTTTCAAATCCTTTTGTTTACAATTCAATTTTATGAAATTTTGATTATTTGGAGGTTCTTCAATATTACACAGCAAAAAAAAGTCTGACTCCGTTTATACCTTAAGGTTATGTTGTTCAGTGGTCACGTGACTTATAGTAAAGTATATGGGGCACGTGACCACTAAATAACATGACCTTAAATTCAGCCTCAAAAATAGGCTAAAAGTAAGACTTTTTTTTAGTGTGTAATATTAGAAAATAAAAACTTCAAATAATTAATGAAAAATTCAATTAAACTTTTTGAAAAAAGTTAATTCTATATTCAGAATTGTTAATTAAAAGTAAGAAAAGTTCAAATTTTCAAAGATTTTAATTTGAAACCTTTTAAAAATTCAAATATTTCTATAAATTCAAGTTTGCGTAGAATTTATTAAACTTAAGTTTTCAACGTTAAATCTGACGATTTTCAAAGTAACAATATTGAAAATCGTCAGGTTTGACGTTGTAAACTTTAGTTCAATTAGAATTTTATTAAAATTTTGTTATAATGATTGAATTCTTTTGGGAAATTTGATTAAAGTAGAAGATATTAAAAATCATTGAATTGAGGAAAGTTTTTTAATATAATTGAAATTTTGCCAAAAATTTTATTAATGTTTTGAAAATAATTGAATTTCGGAGAAAAATTTTATTATTTTTATAAAAATAATTGAAATTTTGACCAGAATTTTTGTAAATTTTCGAACATAATTGAATTTCTGCGAAGAATTCTCTTACTTTTGAAAATAATTGAATTCTTGAAATGAATTTTATTAAAATTCCTTTTTGAATAATTGAATTCTTTTGAGAAATTTTATTGAAATAGTAGGGGAGAGTCTCCAGTTGCGAGACGGGTTTTATTTTTGACCCGTAAATTGTAAACGGGCAAACGAAATTGTAAATAAAATACACCGTTCGAAAGGTAACAGAAATACGCAACTTTTATTAAAAGAAAGTATAGTGTTTCGATGAACTCAAAAATTTTTCGATATATTTTCCGAGCACATTGCTTTTGTCAAAAAAAAAAAAATGTCTCCAGTTGTGAGACACTCATTAAAAATTGCTAAAATTTAATAAGTTTGACATAAAACGTTATGTTTAGTAGAAATAATTAAATATATATAATAATATATATTATTATATACTAAATAATAATATTTATTCGCCAAAATATGACTATCAAATAAACACAATTTAATAGCTTGAACAAGAGCATTAAAATTGATTTCTTCTGAATCAATTGACTTTTTTCCACTTGACATGCCCAAAAATACTAGAAAAAAAAATAAAAACAACCTTAAAATAGTATGCCTGCAAAGTCGTATTTTTTATGCTGCCCAGATGGGTGTTGACACCGTCTCACAACTGGTGATATGCTGTGTCTCACACCCAGAAATTGGCGCTATTTTGAAAAAGGAAAATTAAATTATTTTCAACCGTAGATTGGAACAATGCAATATTGCATCACAAAATATAAGGAAAACACTAAAAGAAAATGCATTACATTTACCTTTTCCAATTAATTAACTTGGAAAAAAAGTACTTTGCATTTATTGAAAAAACGCTTTTTAGTCGATTATCACACACAGTGTTGGTATTTAACAAAAACAGTTTGTATATCCGCTTCGGCGTAAACGAAAAAGTTGGCTCATATAAAAAGAAATGTTTTTATATAAACCAATCGGCTTTTTAATATTGCATGTTAAAAAAAATTGACTGTCTCACAACTGGAGACTCTCCCCTAGATATTGGAAAAATAATTGAATTTTAACAAATTGAAATTAATTATAATTTCTACGAAGAATTTTATTAAAATTATTTTGAAAAAAATTGAATTGTTACAAAGAATTTCATTAAAAAATTTTTGAAAATAATTTAATTCTTTGACGAAATTTAATTAAAAATGTATTGAAAATAATACTTACATTCTAGTAAATAAATTGTAGCAAATGTTTTTAAAATAATTGAATTGAATTGTTACAAAGAATTTCATTAAAAAATTTTTGAAAATAATTTAATTCTTTGACGAAATTTAATTAAAAATGTATTGAAAATAATACTTACATTCTAGTAAATAAATTGTAGCAAATGTTTTTAAAATAATTAAATTTCTTTGATGATATTTAATAAATTTTTTTAGAATAGTTACATTTTTTGAGGAATTCAATTAAAATTGTAATAAAAATAATTGAAAGTATGCGATGAGTTGTTTTTGTTTAAACAATATTATAAAATTTTGAATTTTTGTATTTAAATAATTGAATTCTCGAGGAATATTCGGAAAATTATTCAAAAAATAATTGATCAAGTTTAGTTTAAAATTGTAGAAAATAATTGAAAATTGGAAGTGTTGTAGTTGTAATTTTTAGAAATTATTAAGTTTCAGAAGCTTTAAAATTGAAATTTTTTTTTTATTTAATTTCCCGAGGAAAAACAAATGAGAAGTATTTAAATATTTATTTAGCAAAATTACCTAATTTTTGAATAACTGAATTTAGAAATCAGTGATAGGGGAAAATCAGGGAAATAAAAAATAAAATTTTTGTGGCAGCACTGAATGAAATCCGGAGAGAAAATATATATTAAATTTTGTAAAATTATTTTACAATTTGGGGAAAAAGTGCCACAAACCGAAATTTTGACATAGAAAATACTAAACAGTGAAAGAAGTAATATAAAAATTAGTAAAGTTATATTAAAATTTAATTAAAATTCTTATATTTGATCAATTTGCGTCTAGATCCACATTTTTGGTGTCAATTAATTGCAATTTGATCCCAGTTTTTCTAAGGATATAAAATTTGATATCCTTATAGAAAAACTGTGATACTTTCTATTACTTAAGTGTCGACTTTTTCTTTTAAGTTTTAAAGTCGATCCAAGGCCTGTTTTTAAATAAAATAGCAAAATAAATCTCCAAGAAATAATAAAACAAGTGTATAGTCGAAGATCGCAAGTTTTTATCGTTCCATAAAAATGTGTATAGCCTGTGAGACTGTATAAAGCCACGTGCGATGTTATTATTAATTGGCATATCGAGTATGCGAGCGGAAGCCCAACATTTTTCTCTTGGCAAGAATCTTGCCGCACTGCCAACGAACTTTGCTCGTAGTTTGCTTTGATAACGAATACTGAAACGGGTCAAAGCCGTGACCTCTCTCTCTCTCTCTCTCTCTCTCTCTCTCTCTCTCTCTCTCTCTCTCTCTCTCTCCTGCCATTCTTTATATACACCATACATCTCTGTTGTTTTTCGCACCTAGCCATATTTTTTCATATAAAAAAAGGAAATAAGCGGAAAGAAAGGAAGAATATAGTATATGTATTTCCACAAATGAAATGCACTGGTGCGACGATGGATGGTGTGAAAAAAAACGTTATAAACTCCCCTGGGCTAAAGGAGGATATACACGTCACAGAGAGCGAAAAAATATCTATGACACACTTCAAAGAAACGAAAAATTAAG